GTTATTTCTTAAGGCAAGAAATTGTGAAATGCCCCATGTGTGTGATTCGTGTTGTCAAGGACTGTGTGTGTGAGAAGAAACAAATCTCAGCCTTGTCACAAGTTCATTATGATCCCAGCTTGATAAAGGACCATACTGCTGTATAAACAGTGATACTCTTGAGTGCTGAACACCTGAACTTGACCTTAGCACTGTACCCAAGGCTTGACCCAAGGGATCAGCTTTTCATGCTGTACAGATACTGACATACTGTGTCCTGCGTTGAAGTTAGTTTCTTCTTACACACCCTAATAATCGAGTTATAACAAGGAAGATATTTAGACTTACGTCGAATATTTCGTTTGGAACGCGGTGTTTGGACCAACCAGGCCTCAAGGACACAGGAGTATTTCAGGTAATGTGCGCTTTGTTGCCTACTGGCTGCCTTCGGACTGAGCAATCGGATCAACCAAGAATATTGGAATCATCCACGAGCATTACGACCCTGTGCCAACATGGAGTATTATGTAGACCTTGAATTGATTTGTAGTGCAGTTCATAACCTAGCCTTTAAAATTTGGAAACGCTTTGAGCAGTCGAAAGAGCGAGAAGAGCTTCAGGAGTCCATTTTTCTTGGTCGCATTGCACTCGGACTTTATCCTGATCTTCATCCGGATAGGAACGAGGTATTGATCAACCTCGGAGGTTTTCTTTACACAAGATTCGAGGAGTACGGTGTGATAGAAGATCTAGAGGAGGCTATTGAGCGTTGTCGTGCTGCCCTAGAACTTTGCCCCTGCGGACATCCCAACCGCCTCACCCCTTTGATTAACCTCGCACATTCCCTTCACACTCGATCTAGACAGCATGGGCGGACTATAGACCTTGATGAAGCCATCGAGCATTATCGTACTGCCCTGCGGGTTTGTCCCAGTGGTCATTCCGGTCGTTCCTTGTCTTTGAATGGCCTTGCGGGCTGCCTTCAATTTCGGTATGAACTCCATGGACAAACGACAGATATTGATGAAGCCATCAAGTATCATCGTGCTGCCCTTGAGCTTTTCCCTCACGGTCATCCCGATCGTTGCGAATTTTTGAATGGACTTGCGATTTCGCTCCAAACTCGATTTCAGCGGCAAGGACGGGCTGCAGACCTTGATGAAGCCATTGACCACCATCGCACTGCCCTAGACATAGAACCTTGCCACCACGACCACCTCACTCGTTCCTCTTTCCTGCATAATCTTGCAGGCTCCCTTACTATTCGGTTTCAACAGAATGGAGAAACTGCAGACATTGATGAGGCCATCGGGCATTATCGCGCTGCTCTAGATTCTCAACCCGACGGGCATCCCAATCGATCTGTATGTCTGGACAGCCTAGCAAGTTCTCTTTCTGTTCGATTCGAACAGCATGGACAACTTGCAGACCTCGATGAGGCCATCGAGTGTCATCGTGCCGCCTTAGAACTCCAACCCCGCAGACATTTTAATCGTTCCTTGGTTCTTGATAACCTCGCCATTTCCCTTCGGACTCGATTCGAGCAGCACGGACGGATTGCAGATCTCGAAGAAGCCATCGTGCACCATCGTGCCACACTAGAACTTCTCCCGAACAACCATTTCCATCGTTCCGGGTGTCTGGGTAACCTCGCACTTTCTCTGAAAACTCGTTTTCATCAGTATGGGCAGACTGCAGACATTGACGAGGCTATCGAGCATCATCGTGCTGCTCTAGGGCTTCGCCAGAACGGACATCCCAATCGTTCCTCGTCTCTGAATAATCTTGCTATTTCCCTTCAAACCCGATTCAACGAATGTAGAAGACAAATTGCAGATCTCAATGAAGCTGTGGAGCTTTGCTATTCTGCCCTGGAACTTTGTCCTAATGGCCATCCTGATCGATCCATGGTTCTGAACAGCCTGGCAGGTTCCCTTAAAAGTCGATTTGAGCAGCATAGACAGACTGCTGACCTGGATGAGGCCATCGTGCATTATCATGCAGCGCTGGAACTTTACCCAAGCAACCATCCTGATCGTTGGAATCCTCTGAACAACCTTGCAAACTCCCTTCGAACTCGATTTTACTTGTATGGACAGACAATAGACCTTGATGAGGCCATCCAGCTTCATCGTACTGCACTGGAGCTTCGTCCAGAAGGGCATCCTAGTCATTCCATGTCACTGCGGGACTTGGGTTTTTCATTACTCGCTCGATTCGAGAAATTCGGACTTGCGGACAGTTTTGAAGAGTGCATGAAACTACTTGAACGCGCTACTGTACATGACTTTTCAAGCTTGACGATGCGTTTGGAGATTGCCAGGCTATGGGCTGACCTTGCCCAACGTCATTCTCACTGTACCACGTCTAGAGCTTACAAGATGGCAATGCCACTCCTGCAACATGTCCTCATTGTCAGTCCCTCCCTTCATGCACAGCACGAATTTCTCAGGCACCACAGTATGACGTTCGGTGTAAATGGAGTAGCGTATGCTATAGAGGGAAATAGGCTTGAGGAGGCTGTAGAGATGCTTGAGCAAGGAAGGGGTTTACTCTGGTCACAGATGCGTGGGTTTAGGACACCTCTAGATTGCCTTGAAAAAGTAAACAGTGAGCTTGCTAACAGTTTCAGGGATGTTAGTCGCCAGTTGGAAAGCCTTGCAACGTCATCATCTACTGTGTTGCAGTCTCTTTCAAGCACGGTTGTGACCAGGTCATCTGTACTAAATGCACATAGCGAAGGGAAATTGTATGAGGAGCAGCTGAAGTTGAAAATACAACTCTCTACCAAGCAGGAGGGGGTTATCAATGAGATACGGAAAATTCCTGGCTTTACAAGCTTTCTCGCAGCCACATCGTTCCACGTACTCCAATGTGCTGCTTCAGAGGGTCCAGTCATTGTGGTTAATCACAGCAAACATCGATCCGACGTGCTTATTATTCTCTCCCGTGAAGATAGGCCGGTTGTCTGCATTCCGTTAGACAGGGAGTTTTATGAGGAAGGCATTGAACTATGTGCTAAGCTTGTGGGTACACGCTCACAATATGGACCTAACTCAGCAGAATATGACGGGATGCTCCGTTGCACGTTGAAGACGCTATGGGACAGAGTGGTCTCCAAAGTCGTTGACAAACTAGACGAGCTCGGAATTTCCGAAGGATCGCGCATTTGGTGGTGCCCTACATCTTGGCTGTCTGCACTGCCGTTTCATGCTGCAGGTCCGTTCAAGGATACAGACGGAACTATGAAGTATCTCTTGGACAAATACATCTCATCATATACTCCAACGCTCGAAGCACTTATTAACTCGCGGTCATGTGGAAATGGAGAAGAACCGACCACTCTTGTTATTGTGGATACTTCACTTCCGTCAGCTAAGGACGAAATTCGCAAAATCAAGAATTGTGGTATGCAGACCAAATTGCTCAACAGCAAGGAATCTCACGACGTTGTGATAAAAGCACTTCGGAAAGCGACATGGGTCCATTTTATTTGCCATGGACGCTTAGATTCTAAGCCTTTCAACTCGTCGTTCAAGGTGTCGGATCGCCGCCTGACTTTACTCGATATTGTCCAAGCAAACCTTCCTCACGCAGAGTTTGCATTCCTTTCTGCCTGCCACACCGCCGGACAGTCTTTCGAAGTTGCACCCGATGAGGCACTCCACCTAGCTGCGGCAATGCAGTTCTCCGGTTTTCGAAGTGTAATTGGATCGATGTGGGAGTTACTTGACGGGGACGGGCCCTTCTTTGCCAGGACAGTTTATGAGTACATGTGTAACTGTGATGAGGGCGAGGCGAAATATAAACGTGCAGCCACTGGACTTCGTGAAGCAGCCATACAGTTGAAAGCACGAGACGATATTCGGACCGAGAGATGGGTTAATCTAATCCACATAGGTGCTTGATTGTCTGTTGAGGTTCTTGTAAGTGACAATCTTGATTGTTTCGTGTAAGCGCTAAAACTATCATTATGCAGCACTTTCAATTACATAGAGAACAAAGAACTGCTGACTCCCTCAGTTGTACAACAACGGAGGACAAGGCAACAAAGTAGATTTAGAGACCTGTGGTGTACTATACTGTACCTTACCATCAGTGTCATTTTAGTTGCTGCCAAAGAGATAGACAAAGTACTGCCTATTTGCTACACTTCCGACCCATCATTGTACCTGTTCTATATACACTCCTCTTCCAGTATTAACCAACCCCATTATCCAATACAACTCTTCAATGCTCGACAAGAACAGAATAAGTCCGACATAAACGTTAATTGTCCACAGTTATATAAAACAACAACAAAGTTTCTACATAATCCTCCTAGATCCCTCTCCATCTACACATCTACATATCTACACACCAACATCAACATCAACCGCCACCGCCGCAGCAGGCGTCCCCCCACTATGAATAAGCGGCACAACCGGAGTCGGCAACTTCGAGTTCGGGCTAACAGCCGGGAACGCGCTCGCCGTGCTCGAAGGCTTGAACGCCGTCGTCGACGGTATATTAATCGCATTCCCGCCAAACGATAGTAAGCCTGAGTCAATTTTGAATGGTTGGGCTTCTGTGTTGAAGACGACTATAAAACGATGAAGAGGATGTCATTATTAATAATAGAGTAGTTAATGAGAAATAAGGACGCACAGTTATCCAGACTGATATGCTCCGGGTCGTCGAACGTCAGGAACCTGAAAACATAAACATAAGTCCACGGTAATTAAACGATAAAATATAAAAATAGAACACATACAAATACTTCATCACCTCCGCAAAGAAGAAACTCTCCGTATCATCAATGAAAGCCGAGTTCGTAACCGTAACGTCCTCAATCCCCGCAAATGCATTATTAACCTTCAAGAACTTATTCATACTATCCGCAGCAGCACGTGCTCGCTCAAAGTACTTCACATCACCCGTCACACGCCACGCATAGAAGTTACTTTCGAGTACCTCGGGGCGTAAGATGTAGTCTGACCCGCCGTTTAAGACGTAGAAGCCATGTTCGTCGTAGAATTTGAGGTCAGATGCTGAAGGAGGGTTACCGCCGGTGAAGTTACCGTCTTCTGACATCCAGGCGAAGGTTTCGGGGCCAATGCCGGTCCTTAAGCATAATTCAATCCTTGCTACAATAGCTATTTAGGAGATGGACACTTACGCAGTGCTTTGGTACGTGTTCCAGCAAGTCTCGACAAGCTCAAGCGCGATGTCGACAATCGTGTCATTGTTCAACAGCTTTCCTCCCAAGAGCCAATTGCCACCGTGGAAACACGCAAGATGAGAACCAATATGACGAATTTGACGGTTGTCGTCGAAATCTGCCAGATTCGTGTGGTTACCCACTGTTGAGGTCTAAAACAGAAACAATTTGAGTCATAAGCATAAACAGAAGGGATGAATGGCAAGCTTACGCTCAATAGATATTTTATAGAAGAGTCGACAGCCAATCGCCATTCATCAACAAAGGTAGGGTCTGCTGTTCCGATTAAAAGAGGATACTTGATAAGATACTCGAAGTAGCTATCACTTCCTCCACCCCATGTCTGTAAGACGTGTCATCGACTACGAAGCGTAACCCCAAGGAACGGAAACTCACGACGTATCCGCAGTCAAACTGTCCCGACGACGGATCAATGCACTGCGCAGCTAGTCCCGGCAGCGGATCGTCAAGGCTAATAATATGCCGGACGGATTTCTCGGCGAGATTTCGGTAGGTACCATTACCGGTCAGCTTCCTACAATTCAAATAAAACACACTTTCAGTCTTTGCCTGGTCTCAAAAAAGACACCGACATAGACACGTACGAAAGTAAAGCCCACTCAAGTGTAAGCTATTCAAAATTCCCGGATTTATATTAGCCCGCGGAAATAGAAGAAGACAGTCTAGGCGGCGGCGTACCGTTCCTGCTTCCGCAATATTAGTCTGTTATCAAAATGAGTTAAACCGAGCTATTAATATAGTTTGTGAGAAACAATGGCTTACAGCTGCTACGACGGGTTGGTTTGTGGTGAAGTTCATCTCGCCGAACGGCAAGTCGTTATCCTAACCGACGTCGGGAAAATATCACAATGAGGAGAAGGAATGGAAGTCAGATTATATGAAATATGGAAGCATGTCAAATATCAAACATACCCCAACCCAAGCGAAGGCCATCTTATCGGCGACCTCCTTAGCCTTCTCAACGAGGACAGTATGCTTGTTGCCGCTGAGCTCAAAGGAGCTGAGGAGACCACCGACGTATCGAATAGTAGTCTCGAAGAGGCTAAATTCAATAACGGTGTCAGCACGTTAGTATATCGCTGTCGTAATAGCATCCGGACCTAACGGTCTCCTCAACTTGGGAACGGCTAAAGTCGATCTGGGCACTGAAGTTGACGGCCTCATTGAAGAAGTCCTAATATAAGCAAAAAGCACGAAGTCGGTCATTACTACGAAACTTCGGAGGAATAATAATAAAATGCATACATCCAAGCCCATGATGAACATCGTTGCCATACCGTCCACGATGGTTGCGCCCCAGCCATTGCGTCCGTCATTGAAAGTCAAGCTGACAGGCTGAAGATCATCATGACCAAATGCAAACTTCCTGTAAGTCACGCGTCGCGACATCAAAACGCGTCAGTACAAAGGTTATACACGGTCCTGCCGCGTGGCACAAACCAAGGACCCGACGGAGAACGAACGAACGTCCTCACCTGTACGTCTCATACGCCTCAGAGAACATCGATTTTATGAGGTTGGCATTTTCAGCTGCGTTTGGAGGAAGTCGCAATCCAGGCTTCTGCACCTGGATAGCTTGGGATGCGCCAGTGAGCGCAAGGGCAGCAAGTAGGGTGCGTTTTGAAAACATGGGGGAAGCCGGATAGTTAGAGAACGACAAGAGGATATTATAAAGGAACGGCTGAGTTGTGAGAAAACGAGTGGAAAGGATAAACGAGTGGTCCGAAGTGAGAGCGACGGAGGAAGAAGCGGGTCTGGGGACCGAGGTTCGGGACAGCACACAACTGCTTTGGAGCCAGTCCAGATCGAAAGCCGTCCGTATATATGCATCCGTCATATGCACACTCATCGCTCGCTTCCATACAGGTCGGCTCAAATGCCGGCTATCGGTTGATTAGTGCGTTTACGCGTACATAGCGTTACTCGGAATTCTATCAGCAAGTGGTTCTATAGGATCTGCCATATGCAAAAAATAGAAAACAAGGACACGCACACGTTTCTCTTCAGTCTATCCCTGAGTGTCATTGCGGGCCACACCTTTCCTGTTTGTCGCGTGACACACTCGTCGTGTGCTGGCGCATCTGAGAAGCAGTGATAGCGGCTCAGGGCAGGGAGAAAGCAGACCGAAAATGGAAGGGAAAGCGAGCGAGCACGAGGCAAGGATGGAGGGTATACCGCTCATTCCGCTTCGCAATTATTTCTGTGCACCCGCATCTATTGATGATCGCTGGCATTCTCCAACAGGAACGGAGTAGTCGGGCATGCAAGCAAAAGCGGAGACGGGAGAGGTGGATGTACCAGAGTTGGAGTAGTATAGCTCCCGCTTGAGGGCGCCCACGGACAAAAAGAAGCGACTAATTGAAGTGCGTCATGAAGATCGGCTTCGTCCTCCCGTGATCTCAATTCAATCTCACATTCTATACGAAGGAAAAACTATTGGCTACACACATGGATGAATTTGTTTGAGCGAACCCCGCCTGGTAGGTGCAGGCCCGTGTTCTCCGACACGGAAAGGTGTACATACCTGGATTCATTTTCGTAGTAAATACAAGTTTGTCTCAACGCCGAAAATGGCTCTTGCATTTCCGTACCCAATTTGGGCGGCCGTAATGTCGCTCAGAGGAAGCAAAGAAACGAAAGAAATGGGTGTGCGAGCGATACTGTACTGAACCTTTGTGGCATAGACACCGTAATGACCGTCTTTCGTCCGCAACTCCCCCATTCATTGTCAGCTTTGACATATAGAAGACTTCATTAATATTAGAGAATAAAAGAAGTGTTCAGAATTATCACCGCCATTCTGATTCTGATGCAGCTACCTCTTGCAAAAGCGCTGAATGAGCAAGGGTCTGTCCAGTTAACGAGGTGTCGATATTTGCATATGGCATTCATTCGACGCGTCAGGGATTCCGTTCGGTGAATAGAGAAATATAGAAAGCATCTATTCTGGATGATTGAGTCGTCCTCCTTGACCATCTGACTCTGCAAATGCATCAGGAACAGCAAGACTCTTTCCGCATCCAACAGAACACGTCCATCCAGATCTATTTTTGGACTATCCTTCTGATATTCATGATCGAACTCTCACAGCTTAAAAATAGATCGCAGAAGAGACAATTCAGACCGACATATGAATAGTCGAAGACAGAGAAGCGGGATAAATAACATAGACTACATGTGAACAGATAGAAATACAACATCCCATATGAAAAATCTACTTCGCGTTCACGCTCGAGAACTGAATTGCAATACATAAGCACTCAATTCCAGTGACAAATGATGCATAAGCATACCTTGGTCACCGACTTGGTCCCCTCGGAAATAGCGTGCTTCGCGAGTTCACCTGGCAAGATAAGGCGAACAGAAGTTTGGATTTCTCGTGACGAGATTGTCGACTTTTTGGAGTACGACGCGAGTTCTGGGACGACGTTTAAGGAAACAAGTCAAACTGTAATAAATGAACGCACTGGATGCCTCGCCAGCAATACGCTCGAAGATGTCATTGACGAATGAGTTGAGGATAGCCATCGCCTTGTTGGAAATACCAGTATCGGGGTGGACCTGCTTCAGGACTGATTCGCAACGTCAGCTCAAGTGTAATGCCAATTCCAGCAATCGAAATATGCTCACCCTTGTAGATGTAAGACGAGTAAGTCTCCTTGCGGACCTTGCGCTTCTTCTTCTTGTCACCATCGCCAGCTGCGGTTTTCTTCGCAGTCTTAGCCGCCGGCTTGTCAGAGACAGTCTTTGCAGGCGCCTTGGAGGCGGTGGGGGCCTTGCCAGCAGTCGAAGCGGGTTTGGGTGCCATTGGAGATGAAGTTTGTGAAAGTGGTGATGAATGAGGGCTGAGTGTGGTGACGGCGGGCGATAAACAAAGATATGCTCGGGAACGAAGGAGCGCGCGTCATATTTAAAGCGCGGCCGGCGTTTGGATGTATTTGGTCAAGTCGCGTGATGGAGGCACGGTGTGACTCAACAGTAACGCGTGTCTTGAGTGGTTTTCCTATAATTCTGGCACAGCCACGGATCCTTTATAAGCGCGACCTGCGTCTCTTGATTCTCTGCTCATAGTTCTCGCCGTCACTACCGTCGCACGACACTCACCAAGCCCAACCGACTTTTATCCCACTTTCAACCACATAACTACAATGTCTGGCAAAGGAAAGGCTGGCAAGTCCGGAGGCAAGTCTGGTGACGCTTCCAAGTCCCAATCCCGCTCTGCGAAAGCTGGTCTCCAATTCCCGGTTGGTCGTATTCACCGACTTCTCAAGCGTGGCAACTACGCTCAACGTGTTGGCGCTGGTGCTCCTGGTAAGCTTAATTGACTGCATTTTATCAAGTACTTTTCGAACTTACATGAATTCGCAGTCTACCTCGCTGCCGTACTTGAGTACCTTGCTGCCGAAATTCTTGAACTTGCAGGAAACGCTGCTCGTGATAACAAGAAGCAACGTATTGTGCCTCGTCATCTCCAACTTGCTATCCGAAATGATGAAGAGTACGTTTTCACCTTAATAAATGCCGATTATTTTTATAAACTGACTGTCGCGTTTTAGGCTGAACAAGCTCCTTGGCAATGTTGTCATCTCGCAGGGTGGTGTCGTACCATTCATCAACCCCGAGGTTCGTATCCTTTGTTTATTGTTGTACCAAGCTTGTATTGACTAAAATATTCCGTAGCTCCTGCCGAATAAAACTGCAAAGGGCAAGAAAGAGTCTCAGGAGGTGTAGATTTCGTATTTCGTCGCATTACATTTCCTGTGTTTTGTATTATTATACGCCTTGTATTTGTGCTTTTCCCTTTATTCTGGCTTCCTTGAATATCCTGTCTGAATGTGTGGGAGAATTAAGTTCGTGCGTGGGAATTATCGAGACTGGCCTTCATTTCTCGAAGGCCTGTTGTAGTCGTTACTGCATCGGTTATACTGGAATGAGACTGAATGGGAGCAACTGCTGTTCCAAGCTATTGTGCACCTTACTCTAGACACGAGCCAAGCAGCAATGAGGAATTGGCCTCTGAAATAACATAGTCGAAGCATAGTTACAGGACACATACCAACAAAACACAGCATGACTACTTATTTCTCTGTTCATCTTTCTCATTGTTGCTTCTGACTGCATGTTTTCCCGCTTCTTCAGCATTTACACAGTACTGGCTGTGTACGACTTTGCTGGAGTATATCTGTTTTTTGACAGAAGATTGGAGATTCATCGTCATGTCTTTGCCAAGAGCTTGAAGATTTACCAAATCAACAACACTCGGTATCAAAGCGTATCTTCCACGTTTTCTGAAATTTTATGCTCCCAGCATATGACTTCGTCCAAGAGTGAGGCGGTCAATGACTATCTTTCGGAGTTGACGCTTAGCCTGGTATGTTCGATGCATTGCGTGATCGTACTTGCCTGATGAGAGTTCTTCTCCCAATTCATGCTATGATTTTGACAAGCATGGACGGTTTACAGGCAGTTCTGCTTCCCGCATGCAGTATCGGTGTTAGCACTCCCGATTTCCTGTCCACCATGAAAATTTCCAAAGGATAAAATATGCTGCTATAGCTTGCGAAAATCTTACCGCCTTCAAAACTTCCCGAACCTGAATGCCACCTCATGCATGTCGAATTATCCAAGACACCGATGTTTGATACTTCACGTCCATGTGTCTTCACGTCGCAGCACTAGCGGCCTTGGCCAGCTCATGGTGCGATTTCTCTCATATTGTTGAGAATAATCCCAGCTTGGAGCATGGACTAGTGGCACAACATACGCGCATCATTTCGCGATAAGCCTTCTTCACGAACAGCCAAGCCCACTCAAAGCCCGCCTGGCAAGGACAACCGCCTCGTTGCACCCTCGTATCGATGTCTTGCTCATCATCCCTGGCTCTTTCTACATGCGACGGTGGCCGAAGGGCAGACACGCTGGTTTACCATGTGCATTCACATATCTTCGCGACCGAACCAACCTACGTAAATATGGTCGTCTTCCACTTCGGGTCGATCCTTGTAAATCGACGAAGCGAATTATGTTCCGAAGCGATGCATCGCTGTAACTGCGTCATCTCTTCCGAGATTGCCAGACCTCAAATGAAAGCGAATCTGGCCGTCGAATCATCGTTCGTCCGTGCTCTAACCGACTTGCCTTATAAAGCGGAGAAGCTACCAACGCGTATTCGTCTTGTTCCGCTAGAAGACCCCTGGGTAATGCAGCCGACACGCCACAAATGTTTTTCATCTTCATGAAAATGACTTGCCAAGGATCTCGGTCACACCGCCGTGGTCACCAGAAATGTGTCTCGAGGACTGCGCAAATTTTCTTAGTCTTTCCGTTTTCTTACCTCCTCGTGCGGGCTGGGAATATTCTTTCACTATCTCGTCAGCGAATTTCGCGCGCCATTTGCCAAGGGTCTCCCGCGCAAAAACATTTCAGAAAGCTAATAACGGTTGGATATAAAATAGACGAAGCGATACGCTAGAATGAAGCCCTACTCCGAACGAGCTGCAGCAAGTACCCACCCTAAAACAAGCGTCATCCCCGAGACGACCACCGCAGCACTAGCAGGTTAATAAGTAGACTCGATACAAGTCGCGTCCGGTCTGAGACTTACCGTTTCTCCTTCCACTCCTTTTCTCCATGGCCGCCAGTGTTCTCCTGCTGGTTGGGACCGTGCTTTTGGTAAGTCTCGTTTTACCGCACGAAGCTGGTTCTAGCTCTTTCGCTTACGCTCGTGTTTCATGTTAGGCAATCACTGAAGTTTTCTTACTTTGTTTCGCCGGATATATTCTCGCCCGTATGGATATCCTCAACAAGCAGACCCGAAAGCAGGTCAACAGACTAAACACTTCAATCTTTACTCCTGCTCTGCTATTCACAAAGGTTGCCTTTTCTCTGACCGCATGTAAGTTAGACCACTCTCGGCGGTCATGGTTAGACTCTGATTATTTCGACTGCCCGTTAGCGGAGCTCAAGGAACTATGGATAATCCCCATTCTCTTCATTATTATAACTGCTGTCTCTGCTGGAGTCGCCTATATCATGGGCCTAATTTGTCGAGTCAAACCAGAACACAGGTAATCCGAAATACTTGTTCATTCATGACGTATGTTAACGGCATTGAAGGTACTTCGCGATGGCCGCGGCCATGTTCATGAACTCAAACTCGATGCCGATCGCACTCATGCAAAGTCTAATCGGTACTGTTGCGGAGCTGAAGTGGAATGAAAACGATACGCAGAGCGATATGTTGGCTCGTTCCCTCACGTACCTCGTCCTCTACAGCACGCTCGGTAATATTGCGCGCTGGAGTTTTGGTGTGAAGATCCTTGAGAGAGCTGATGCGACCGCACAGGAGACTACCCACGGCGAGAAGAACATTGACGTTGAGTCGCAACAGACGGTCAAGGAAGTTGATGGTAAAACTCCCTTACATAGTCGCTCGCCATCCGACGTAACTACGACCGGAGAGCCAGACAGGTCTCGTCCCCGAGGCCAAGGCGGTTCGCCAATGTTCTACTTATCTGACGAACCACCCCGGTCCAATACCAGTCTTCCTTACGTTGACTCTAGGGTAGCTGAAGAACCAGACCCATACATCCCCCTCTCCACCAAAAGTTCGTCAACAACGTTAGCGCCGATCACAATCAGCACTGCTTTGGAAACAGAAGGTCAAACGGAACTTGCAATCCCTGCTCCGCCACTCACCAAATGGCAACGCTTCGTGAGCGGATTGAAACGCTTTTGGATCGCATTCTATGACTTCATGACTATGCCACTCTGGGCTGCTTTGTTATCCATCATCATCGCTCTCATTCCTCCAGTTCAGAATCTAATCGCAAACCACATGCGTCCGGTACGGAAGGCATTGGAGGCAGCTGGAGATTGCTCAATCCCACTCACGCTCGTCGTTCTCGGCGCATACTTCTATACGCCTCCGCCTAGGGATACGGCAGTACCACCCCTCAAGGAGAGACTCCGCAATGCACTTCGGTTTCGTCAATCAACTCCTCCAGATGCGACAATGAAAGCAGAAAGGCCAAAACGTCCTGGCGAAAAGCGCACTATATTCATTGCGATTATCTCCCGACAAGTACTTTGTCCTTTGATTGTCCTGCCCTTAATGCTCGCGTTCGTCCGGTTCGACGTGCCGAAGGTGTTCTCTGAGTACGTGCCAGTTTACGTTCACCCCCGAAAATGATGTTAGCCTAATTCTGTGGTTGCCAGTCCGGTTTTTGTTGTGTCGAACGTACTTCTTGTTTCAGCTCCCATTGCGTTAACACTGGCTCAGGTACTCGTCTTTTGGGATTAATTGGTGTACATGAAACTGACCGTTTAACACAGATGTCCTCAAAAACCGGTGCAAGCGATGGGTTTGAGCGGTTACTCAGTACAACGATTTTCTATGCGTACTGTGTCGCTTTACTTCCAGTCACTATCATCTACGTCGTTCTCGGCCTTATTCTCGCAAAGCTGTAATGCGGGGTGTTTTTCCCCTTCCCGTCACTCACCTTCACAAGGTCTCCACACTCCCTCGTCTTGCCCTTCCTTCTTCCCTTTATAGATTTCTAGATATTTCCTGATTGCCTATACATCATGCTTTCACTGCATAGATTTACTACGTATCTCACCTCTACATACGCTAATACCGAGCATAGCGATACACACCGATGCTCTGCTATATTTCTCCCTCGCTTAGTCTGGACTCTACTAATACCCCGCCAATGTAGCGTTACAGTATTCCAACAGTCAATTTCTTGCGCAGTTTTAATCTCCTAGATAGACTTTTTTCTCGGATGTACTAACGTACGCTTCCAGTGTCACTACACCTACTCGGTGTATGTATAGACTCTTTTCCTGACCCGTTGGGTGATCTTCGGATTGGTGTAAAATGAATGTGTCAGCAGACGCACGTGCGCGCCATAAGTGCACATTTGCGCAATGCGCGTGTTTACCTGTCTTTCCACTCTCTCGTTTCGTACTCGTCGTAAATTGCATCCATCTGACCACTTCTGAGGGCAATCTTCGAGTTACGGTGTCCCAAACTTCACATCGACCTCGTCTAATCTGTTTTTGCCGCTATCGTACTTGCACATAGCCTATCCTCGAAGCGCGCGACATTTGCCAACCAAGGATCCTCCGCACAGGACATTTCAGAAAGCCAACAGTGGTCGCATACAATATTAACAACGCGATACATTAGAATGAAGCTTAACGAGCAGCAGCGAACAGCCACTCTAAGACAAGTGTTGTCCCGGTTGAGACTAATGGAGGGCATATGCGTCATTGCTCGTTATGGCTAATATTTCTTTCGATTCAGACCATGTCCCTAATCAAGTGGTAGCGTATATAAAACTCCCAGCCATCGCTCGCACCACCTTGGTCTCGTCTTATCTCGACTAAGGTGAGTATTTTGGAACTGTTCTATTTCCCTATCGTTCTTATTTACTACATTACCGTATAGCTTTGTTTCTACAGTCTTAGGGACGGCTACCTCAGTAATCTCCAACTTGTCGTCGCTCCTTCTGTCCCTTATCTCCCATGGCAGTCAATCTTCTCCTGCTGGTTGGGACCGTGCTCCTGGTACGTCTTCTTCTAGTAGATTTGGGCTGGTTTTGGCCTTTTCGTTTACGATTGCCTTTCACGTTAGGCTATTGCTCAGGTTTTCTTACTCTGTCTCGCCGGGTACATCCTTGCTCGTATGGATATCCTCAACAAGCAGACCCGAAAGCAAGTCAATCGTCTCAACACTTCGATTTTCACTCCCGCTCTACTATTCACAAAGGTTGCCTATTCGCTGACTGCAAGTAAGTCAAGCCACTTAACCGTCGTGAACAGACTCTAACTATTTCGATTTCTCGTTAGCGGAGCTCAAGCAACTATGGATCATCCCTATTCTCTTCATCATCGTGACTGCAGTATCTGCTGGAGTCGCTTACCTCATGGGCCTGGTCTGTCGGGTCAAGCCAGAACACAGGTAACGCGCAAGTTTGTACCTGTTTATAAAATGTGTTAATGGTATTGAAGGTACTTCGCTATGGCCGCAGCAATGTTCATGAACTCAAACTCGATGCCAATCGCCCTTATGCAAAGCTTAATCGGCACCGTCTCGGAATTGAAGTGGAATGAAAGCGATACACCGAATAGTATGTTGGCTCGTTCCCTCACGTACCTCGTGCTCTACAGTACGCTTGGTAATATTGCGCGCTGGAGTTTTGGTGTGAAGATCCTTGAAAGAGCAGACGCGTCCGCACAAGAAAGTACTGCCGACGAGAAGAAGATTGATGTTGAATCGCAACAACCTGCGAAGGAGATTGGGAGTGCTGGTAATAGTCCTGTAGAGAGTTGCTTTTCGTCGGACGTAACTGTGACTGCGGAACCAGGTAGCAACTGCCTCGGAGGCAAGAGTGATTCGTCAACGTTCTACTCATCTGACGAGGCTCGCCTGTCTGTTGCTGGTCTTCCTCGCGTTGACGCTGGAGTAACTGAAGAACAAGTTTTACGCGCTCCTCTTTTCACCAGAAGCTCGTCAACTTTAGTTCCTCACACGATTAATGCTACCTCGGAAGCAAAAGACCGAACGGAACCGGAAGTCCCTACTCCACCGCTCACCAAATGGCAACGCTTTGTCGGCAGATTGAAACGCTTTTGGACTGGATTCTACGACTTCATGACTATGCCACTCTGGGCTGCTTTGTTGTCCATAATCATCGCTCTCATTCCTCCAGTTCAAAACGTAGTCTCAAACTACATGCCTCCAGTACGGAAGGCGTTGGAGGCAGCTGGGGATTGCTCAATCCCACTCACACTCGTCGTCCTCGGTGCTTACTTCTATACGCCTCTGCCTAAGGGTACAGTGATACCTCCCCTCAAGGAGAGACTTCGGAATGCTCTTCGGTTTCGTCGATCAACTCCTTCAGATGCAGCACCGAAGGCAGAGAAGCCGATGCGCACAGGCGAAAAACGCACCATACTCATTTCGATTATTTCCCGACAAGTGCTTTGTCCTCTGATTGTACTCCCATTAATGCTTGTGTTCATCCACTTCAACGTTCCGAGAGTGTTCTCCGAGTACGTACTCCCTCACGTTTGCTTATTAAGTTGAATAATGCTGACTAAATTTTACAATGGCCAGTCCTGTCTTCGTTGTGTCAAACGTGCTGCTTGTCTCGGCTCCTATTGCGTTAACTCTTGCCCAGGTACCTATGTCTTCAGTGATGATCAATGCGCAGGTGGCTGACAATTCGATGAAATTCAGATGTCTTCGAAAACTGGTGCAAGCGATGGATTCGAGCGGTTGCTCAGTACAACGATCTTCTATGCGTATTGCATCGTTTTAACACCCATCACGATTGTCTACATCATCATAGGCCTGATCCTCGCAAAGATGTAATGCATTTCCTCATCCTTTCTTTCTCTTACCCTCCTTCGCCGCCCACGCTCCTTTGTCATGTTCAGTCTTTTCCCTCGATGCCTACCAATTGCATATCTATCCCACTTGCACTACATAGTCACTACATACACTTGCCGCGTATTTCATCACGTTACATAGGCTAATACCTAGTATAACCATCCACGCCTTATGCTCTGTGATATTCCTCCTCCATGCAGTAACCCCATACCCGCCAATGTAGCTTTAGAATATCTAGGAATTTCTTGCTCAATTTTTATCACTTACATCGATTTTCCCCCTTAGAGCTGCTTCCTTGGAATCTCAACGTCACTGCTCCCACTCAATGTCAGGACAAAGGAAAGAGATTGATGTAACAGTAAGTACTGATGTCTGAAACATAGGAGAGTTGTAGGGTAGTAATAGGTAGTCTTAATCTAATGTCAGTGACAGTGTAGAGGGGACCTGAAGGCTCAGCAAGGGGACCCAGGCTACAACTATCCTACACAACAGAAATACAGAATACAAGTACTAGAACATAGTTGGAACTTGCAGAAAGGGCAGAGAGAGAGAGTGGGACAAGAGTAGAGTATATAGAGTAAGCCTAAGAGTACAGGACTACCTAGAGTAGACAAGATCAAGACTACAGGACCAGTCTGATCTTGTACACCTATATATACTAAACTACACAAGAGTACTCAGGGAGTATGAGCCACTAAGAATGATGAGCCACAAAGAATGAGAGAAAGGAATGTCAAAGATAAAGGTACAAAGAATGAAGGGATGGACAAAGGGTAAGAGACCATAGAATGATACAAAGAATGAAGGGGTAGTCAAAGGAATGGAATGATGAAGTAAGGAAGGGTAGTAGCAAGAGTCAGCATGCATATAGTCCATAGACAGTACCCCTAAGGGACAGAAGTCCTGAGTTCTGGTACAGAAGGGTACAGAACCCTTGGAACTGAAGGTACAAGAGCAGAGAACTGTAACACATAGGAGCACAAGTTGAGAAGATAGGGGTGGACAGGTTGAATGCATGCCAGTATGATAGAGTGTCACAGGGGTGTTCAAAGGAACAGTTGTGTCAATTCCACATCCAGACCCTGAGTCCTACAGTTCTTTTTTGGTTAGCTTGAATTGGCCACCCACAGTTCAACTTGAATTTCACTAAGTCAAAATAAAGTCCTTTTCTAATAAAATACATATTCCCCTCCCTAATCCTAGCCAAAACCCATCCTAACACTCAAACCTAACAACCCAACTTATCCCAAACCTAATTGGGTGGCAAAGCCCCCCAAACCCCCCTCCTAACTTCTTAGTCCAAGAGTTGCCGCACTAGTATTATGTAAGTGGCCATTCAGGGTCATCCCAAATTGGGTCGTGAGACTCAGGGTCTGGATGCAGAAAATCAAAGGTTCAAAGGAACAACTTTTGTGACAAAATCTCACTTTTTTCTTATCTTCATATTAATTTTTTTACAGCACTTAATAGCTTGGAAAAATTCAGGCATATAGTATTATACATATAATCATTAGATACATAAATTTTTAAGTAAATTTTTGATGTGGAAAGAAATGTGGGGGAAAACAAAATTGGTGTTTAAAGGAACGTCCAATGCCTGTAGTGTTGATCCGCATCACGGAAATAGGCGAACAAAAGCGACCACATGCATAAAAATAGCCAGAAAAGCAGAACGAGAAGAAAAGAAGTTGAAGTTGATACACACCCTTTTACATTTTTAAATTTTAAACTTTCTAAACCCTTTTAAACTTTTGCCACCCTTCTTCTATTCATTACCCCTTTTAGTTTAGTGTTGATTCCTTTATAGTGTAGACATGGACCCTACTATACTGACCACCACCCCTACTGTCCTGCCAGATCAGTAGTTACAAGCAGAACTAGCTTAATATGTATAAACCTCTATTTAAGAGGCCTTTGCTAACTATGTGCCCCCAGCCCTTTCAGAACCTGTTCTGATTGTTTTAGAAGTTGTAACCTGTTCTGGAAAGAAAGTACATGTAGCCTACCCTTTGGACTTTAATGAGTAGCACTTTGAGGACTTCCAGCACTAAGTTGAACTATACATGACTGTTACTTCAACTAATCTATTCTTAGATCTCAATTGTATCCTATTTGTCCTCTCCTTCATGAAGGAAGGCAACACAACCACCTGGGCCCAGAACTGGATCAAAGGTTATCAGATCAGAAGCCTGATCCAACTTCAGAACAATGAGTCATACTCAGAATTCATAGAGCAGCTCTGTACTTCCTTCATTAATCTGAATGAGAAGTATAATGTATAGAACAAGCTTGTGTCTCTGTAACAGGGCAAACATTCTACTAATGCCTTCTTTCAGGAGTTCAATATCCTGGCTCAGAAGGCAGGATTCATGCTTAGGTTTGATAATGTCCTTATTAGAATGCTTGAAAAAGCTCTTTACTCAGAACTGGTTGATAAGATTCTCAGAATAATGTTAGAACTAGTCACCTACACTGAGTGGAAGACATGCACCATCTCCTTCAACCAAGCTACAGCTTGGATGTATCAAGTCTGTGTAGAATGCCTGTACATGTGTTCAGCTCTAACAGTTCTGAGCTCTCAGATCAATCTGTCTATAATTCACAATCAATCTGTTCTGATAGACATTAGAGAAGCCTGAAAGTAAGAAGCATGCTTTACTTACAGAAAGTCAGGGCACCAAATTAAGGACTGTCTATAGAAGTAACAGTATATCTGTCAGGTCATTAGAGTAATGATGAGTGACAAGCAGGATTTGTAGTAAGAAGCCTTTTCTACAAATCTGGAAGTCACCTCAGAACTCCTAGACCCTGACTATGTACTCTAGGATTTTATAGAGGCCTAACAGTGAATGTGACACTGAAGGGCTATGACTCAGATTTTTTAATGGCCACTTTTGATTCAATGGATACTGTAGGATTAAAAGTAAATAAAGTAAGAAAAGTAGAAAAAGTAGAAAAAGTAGAAAAAATAAACTAACAAAATTATTTATTAGAAAGAAAAAAGTCAAAAACAAAAGTAGATAGTTCTCTTATTTCTTCTGATTCTTTTGATTCTTCTCTTCACACTTCATCTGAGTCTAAATCTACACAATCCAACCTACTACTTCTACATTCTAAGATCTCAGAATGTTTGGAACATTACTCAGCCCTGTTCACTACTCAGTAGTTTGTTTATAGTATCAAGCAGGGATAGTCTCAGCTGAGTTCACAGCTGAGGACATGAGTCCATCCTTGTTGAAAGAGAGAGGTTAATAAGGAAATGTTAGTACATATACTCACCCTCTCAGACAACAAGGCTACACAAGCTGTACATTCCCTTTAGAACAAGTAGTAGTTTATCTAAGAATGTTCTAGGTACTAGCTCTAGGTCCCTGTCCTCTTGGCTCCCTTCTCAGGATCCCTCCAGATCTGAACAACAGCTCTGGTAGACAGTAGATGTACTAGTTTGTACATTAATAAGGCCTTCATACAGGAACACTACCTCCCTACTCAACACATTCTACTTCCAATCCTAGTATACAATATAGACAGAACTCTGAACCAGAATAGTTGGATCACTAAGTTTGTCCAACTACAGATGACTATTTAGGATTATAAGGAAAGTATTGAGTTCAGAGTCACTAACCTCAGAAAGACAGACATCTTCATCAGATTCAAATGGCTCAAGGCTCACAACCCTACTATTAACTAGTTAGAGTAGACACTTGTGTTTGATCAGTGTTCTGAGTCTTACAGCTACCTTGTACTACTGTTCTGAGTGGATACAGATGCTTCTAATGTTACTAACAGTTCTGATAAAGGTGACCAGTTGTTCTTCTTCAACTAGGATAGATATGTAGATACATATTCTAGTTGAGGCAGAATAGAGTCAATCTAAAGGATGTCCAAGACAGAACCAGTCTAGAACCCTCTCAGAATGACTCTACTCTAGAACACACACAGACCCAGCCTACTGGATTTTGTCTGAGAGTTCCTTAAAGTCTTTAGTAAAGAGGAATTCAACTAGCTTCCTGAACACTGTCTCTAGGACTATACAATTGAATTGACTGAGAGTTTCCAACCTAAGGATTGTAAGGTCTACCTACTCAACAGAGACAAGTAGGAGGCACTCAACAAGTTCCTTCAGGAAAATCTTCAGAACAGTCAGATCCAACCCTCAAAGTCCCTTATAGTCTCCCCTTTCTTCTTTATCAAAAAGAAAGATAGGAAGCTCTGTCTAGTCTAGGATTATTGTTGTCTTAATGAGGGTACTGTCAAAAACAAGTACCTACTCCCCCTGATTCAGGAGCTCATTAATAAGACACATACATCTAGGGTTTTTACTAAGTTGGATATTTGATAAGGATACAATAATATTCAGATCCAAGACAGAGATGAGTAGAAGGCTGTGTTCCAAACTAATTACAGATTGTACAAACTGACTGTAATGTTCTTTAGACTAACTAACTTGCCTACAATGTTCCAGTCATTCATGAATCACATCCTTACAGATCTGATTGACTCAGAACACATTAGTGTGTATCTGGACAACATTCTGATCTTCACCCAGACAGTTGAGCACTATTACTAACTGATCTAAGCAGTTCTACAACAGCTCTAAGATAATAAACTGTTTCTCTAAGAAGTAAAGTACTCTTTTACACAGGAGTCAGTGAATTATCTAGGCTTTGTGATCAGTAGAGGAGAGGTCTGTATGAATCTGACAAAGGTGACTATAGTTTGGAACTAGTCACAACCTTAGAACCTGAAACAGGTCCAAGTGTTCCTTGAGTTTGTAAACTACTACTAATGCTTCATTCAAGGCTTTAGTACCATTGCCCAGCCCCTTCACAATCTTACCAGCAAGGATGTTCCTTAGTAATAGAATGATTAGTAACAGTCTGTGTTTGAGTCCCTCAAGCAGGCCATCACTAGCAAGCCTATATTAGTAGTTCTGACAGTTACAGACAAGTTCCAAGTCAAAGCCAATTCTTCCAACTTTGCAAATAGAGTAGTACTGTCCCAGTTTATTGACAGAAAGTAGTGTCTGATAGTGTTCCAATTAGAATCCCTCTCTGTAACAGAACAGAACTACTCTATCTATAACAAGGAACTCCTTACAATTGTCTGTTCCCTAGAAGAGTAGTGTCAATATCTCCTCAGTACAGTATAGAAGTTTAAGATTTAGAGTGATCACCTTAATCTCTAGTACTTTCAGGCACTCTAGAAGCTCAACTGCTGCTAAGCCTGCTGGATGTTAGAACTGTAAGACTTCAACTTTGTGCTAACCCACAAACCTGGAACACAAATGACAAAAACTGATTTACTCTTAAGACAAGTAGGTCATGAAAGGGGGGAGAACAATAACAAAAATCTTGTTCTCCTAGACAATTCCTGTTTCACATCTGAGACAATCTAAGAAATCCAACTCAAATCTAAGAATGTCAACTTTGTCACCTACATATAGTAAGCTCTAAGACACATACAAGACTAGGTTGTAGTAAAGTAACTAGAGAAGTAGGCTAGGGATTAGGAGGAGGATGAGGATGGACAGGTTTACTAGGAAGGCCAACTGTATGTTCTGAAGGATTGGAAACTGTAGGAGGACATTGTCTGAGCTTATTACAACAATCTGACTGTAGGACATTCAGGCTGACACAAAATGCAGGAACTCATTACTCAGAACTACTAGTGGCTCAGAATGTAGAGGGAAATCCTAAAGTATGTGACTGGTTGTAATATGTACTAACAGACTAAGGCTTACCAGACAAGGGTTTGGGCTCTCCTACATCTGTATTGGATTCTGAATCACTCTTAGGAAGAAGTCTTGGTAGACCTGATCAGTAAGCTACCCAAGTCTCAGGGTTACAACACTATCTGTATGATTGTCAACTGATTCTCTAAGCAAGTCTACACAGTTTCAACCTGAATGGAACTCACTTCTGAAGGCATAGTATGTATTTATTAGAATCATGTCTTCCAGTTGTACAGACTCCCTCAGAAGCTCATTCATGATTGTAGACTGTAATTTGAGTTGAAATTCATACAGGACTTGTATGTACTTCTCAGAATTCAAGGGAACCCTTCTACTACCTATCACTCACAGACTGACAGTCAAACTGAGTAAGTCAATCAGGAGATTGAGCTCTACCTTCAGATGTTTATCAATCATCAGTAATTGGATTAGTCTGAATGGCTAGCTCTAACAGAATTTGTGTACAATAACTAGTAACACTCTGTAATAGGACAGTCCCTGTTCTTCCTCAATTATAGGAGACATCTGTACTAGGGGACAGTTCCAAACTGGAACAGCAGTTCTGAATCTGTAACAGACTTTGTAAAACAGATACACAGAACCAGGGAGGACACACAAGCTCTTTTGGAAAAGGTAGTACAGGTTATGAAGCAGAACTATAATTGGAAGAGGTCTACAGTCAAGGATTACCAGCCTGGTGACAAAGTTATGTTAGAAGCTACTAACCTGACCATAGATTGCCTAATAAAGAAGTTGGACAACAAGCACTTTGGACCCTTTGTTATTGAAAAGAAGGTTAGTGCCTCTGTCTACAAACTCCAACTTCCAGCAATATAAAAGCACATACACCCAGTGTTTAACAAGGTTCTACTGTCTCAATACTATGATCTGAGTTTTCCTTCACAACAAAGACTCCTACTGCCTCTACTAGAACTCATCAGTTCCAAACTGGAATACAAAGTAGAGTATGTAGCAGATACTAAGCTAGTGTACAGAAAGCTCAAGTTCCTTATCTACTAGAAAGGATACCTAGTTGAAGAACACACTTAGGAACCTGCTGAGAATCTCACTCATACTACTAAGGTAATCTGAGACTTCTATCAACTTCATCTGGGTACTCTGTGTCAACTCTGCCTCACAGATTTCCAAACCCTACTGTTCCAACCTATGCTCAAGCTACTAACTAAGTCTAATACTCACTAATCAGGACAATTGGTTTTAGAGGGAGGGTGATGTTACAGTTCTCCACTCTTATACCTTCAGTTCTAAGGGTTCTGTACCCTTCTGTACCAGAACTCAGGACTTCTGTCCCTTAGGGGTACTGTCTATAGACTATATGTGTACTGACTCTTGCTACTACCCTTCCTTACTTTATCATTCCATTCCTTTGACCACCCCTTCATTCTTTGTATCATTCTATAGTCTCTTACCCTTTGTCTATCCCTTCATTCTTTGTACCTTTATCTTTAACATTCCTTTCTCTCATTCTTTGTGACTCATCATTCTTAGTAGCTCATACTCTCTGAGTACTCTTGTGTAGTTTAGTATATATAGGTGTACAAGATCAGACTGGTCCTGTAGTCTTGATCTTGTCTACTCTAGGTAGTCCTGTACTCTTAGACTCACTCTATATACTCTACTCTTGTCCTACTCTCTCTCTCTGCCCTTTCTACAAGTTCTGACTATATTCTAGTACTCACATTCTGTATTTCTGTTGTGTAGGATAGTTGTAGCCTGGGTCCCCTTACTGAGCCTTCAGGTCCCCTCTATACTGTTGCTGACACTATGTTTACTCTTGGCTCACTCCTCTTACTCTTGTTTATACAGGCAATTGTTCTATAGTCATATCTACACCTTCAGGCAAAATTCCTACATTATTCATTGTGTCTTCACAGGTCTAGGTTGTATTCACCACATTTAGACACTGCTTCTTCTTTGTCAAGGCTACTCTCTTGTATTATGTTGTCCTGGACTTGTTTTTTTGTTAGTCTAGAAGGTCTAAGGCTCTAATAAGCCCTTAGGAGCCCTTCCTCCCTCTAAGTAGAGCATTTAGCCTACTATTTGACAAGCTCTTTGTCATAGTGAGTCTTGATTTGTTTCCATTCACTTTCAATCATATTATTAACTTCCTTCTTCCTTTTAGCCTCCTCCTTTCTTGCCTGGACCTCCTTCTCTTCCCTTTCCCTGTATTCCTTCTTCTGCCTGAGCTTTTCCCTAGTCTCATCTGAGGTCATAATCTTTAGCATTCCATTATCAAATATCTGTGAGTTCTCTGTTGTTTTTCCTTTCTCCTTCTTGTATAGAGTATTCTGGAGCCTAGCATTAAGAAGGGAGGCCAGAACAAGCTGTGCTGACTATAGAATAGGACTGTTAAGAGATGAGGAACAAAAAGAGAGAAAAAATTATTTATTTAGCAAATGTTACAGACTAATACCCTCAACCAATGTGTCATTAGGACTGTAGGTCAGTGTAGATCAGTGCAGATCAAAGTAGATCAATGCTGATCATTTTACTCTCTTGTCATGCTTTTTGAGCATTTTTAACAAATTACACAATATTAATTTAAGGACTGGTCCATTCAATATGATAAAACATACATATTGTAGCTCTGAAGTAGAGGAATACAATAATATAATTTTTATGTTGAACACTGTAGCATAAGTAGTAGTAAAAAATTTGTCAGTAGTCTCATATTTGGAATTTATTCAATTTCAGCAGTATTGAATTTCTATACACTTTTCTACTGAATCAATTTCCTTCAGAATTCATATATATATAGTACATGTATGTATCTACATTTCTCTATTTTTTTGAGTTTATTGGTTGAGTTATGCATGAATTAGAGGGGGGTGTTCAAAGGAACGTCCCTGTTTAAAGGAACGACCAATGCCTGTACTAATTGAGTCAGCAAGGATGTGTCAAGCGAGAAGCGTGATCAGCGTTTGAATTGAGAAGGCACGCACGTGTGTGTACGTCACACTTGGGTGCTTGGAAATTAAAGCCCTCGTTTCGGCGTACCTGCATCTTGTCTTCCTACTCTCTCAATCCATACTCGCCGTTAATGGCGCCTATAGGCATACTTCTAAGTACGGTCTTTGGGGTAAGGTATATCCGTGCTTATTCCGACTTGTCTAATCTGTGGTTTCGCCGTGTATGGTGTAGGCTATCCTTGAAGTGTTCTTGCTATGTCTTGCAGGGTATATCTTGTCTAGGAGGGGTATACTTGATAAGAAAACACAGAAGGTACATTTATTAATTCGATGCTAGACATTTGCATTTATCTGATGGCTGTATGAATGAACAGCAAATCAACCGCCTCAATGTCTCACTGTTCACGCCTTCCCTACTCTTCTCCAAGGTTGCATTTTCTTTAACACCAGGTGAGCAACCCACACGATCTCATTTTACTGCTTCGGAGGCACATTTTTGTATCTCGTGTGGATTATGCGTGTGGATGGAGTGGTACTTGGAGGGGGATGTGGTCGCCTGAAGTCCAACGCTTGGCCGTAGTCTTGGCAAGCCGCAGTTATGACGCGAACTCAAACCGTGTCCACCACCGCAATATTTTGCTGATGGTTATAAATCACCTTCATAAATTCTCATTGATGCTATTTATGTATTATCGTCGTGTTGTATCGGGTACTGATAACAAACGTTATTACCTCAGCGAAACTACGAGAATTATGGATAATACCGATTTTTTTCTTCGTGGTCACTGGAGTTTCTATGGGTATTTCCTACATCCTTGGTTTAATATTTCGTCTCAAAAAGTCGCAGAGGTGAGTGATAACGCATATGAGAGCTGCTACTTGTCTAATCGATGATTTATTCCAGGAATTTCGCGATTGCTGCTGCCATGTTCATGAATTCCAATTCCTTGCCGATCGCTCTAATGCAAAGCCTGGTCGTCGCTGTGCCGAATCTAAAATGGGAGGATGATGATACGAAGAATTCGATGCTCGGTCGAGCGTTGTCGTATCTTGTCCTATCCAGTACACTCGGCATGGTCTTGCGTTGGAGTTATGGAGTGCATCTTCTGTCTCAAGCTGATCCTGAGGGGTCTGATTCTGACAATCACGAGTATGGAAGTGGTTCTCGAATGCGTGGAGAGCGTTACACTGACAACCCGGAAACGCAACCGCTCCTGGTTGACTTAGAAGAAGACACCCAGCCGAGTACAACCCGAGTACATCATCAAACGCCATCGATTATATGCCACGAACACCAGGATGACGAAGAATCTTCTATCCGTGTAAAAGCCTCTCATCCACGCGGATGGCCAGAAATCCGGCCTCAAGTATTTTACTCATTTCCAAATACCCCCACACGTTCATATGCCAATCTTCTCGACGCATCTACGAACCCCTCCTCTGCGACACTCGCCGTGCCGTTTGTGAATACTGTCCGCCCGCCCAATGAGTCTGACTTTGAGTCCGACACCGACGAACCGCTGTTCCTCCCATCTACGACTCATCATGAGCGTCTTATTGCGCCTCCGCCTATTTCAACCAAGAAAAGCTTACTTCGCCGTATCGGTCGCCGTGTACGAAAGTTCCTTAAAGCCGTAAACTCGTTTATGTCCGTTCCACTCTGGGCTGCACTACTATCTCTCATAGTAGTTCTCATCCCACCCCTCCAGCATACGGTCGATTACCATATGCAACCATTCAAAGGTGCTCTCGCCGCTGCAGGCAACTGCTCAATCCCGCTCACGCTTGTCGTCCTCGGCGCTTACTTCTATAAACCACCCGTAAAAGATGAAAAACGTTCGTCAGAGCATGAACACTCGGATGGAAATGCATCCACAGAGCAGAACGGACACACAGAACGGGATACAAGCCGAAGAAGCGACCGATCGACCTCCTCTTTTGTAGGTAGCGTGCGTAGCACAATGATGCGTTTGAGCCGGTTAGATCGCTGGGAAGCAAATCGTTCCAAGGATAAGTCCAAGAAAGCAAAGCCGCGACCAGGAGAGACACGAACTGTCGTCATAGCCGTTGTGTCACGCATGGTGCTAACTCCACTCGTACTTCTCCCATTGATGGCGCTCGGCGCGCGTTATGATAACCCGAAAGTCTTCGACGAGTAAGTACATTTCATATTTTCTATCGTCAGTTTCACGATATGTAAAGCAACCTTATCTAATAAATTCTATCACAGCCCTGTTTTCATCGTTTCAAACGTTCTACTGGTCTCCTCACCGCCCGCTCTGACACTTGCTCAGGTACGCCCACTCCTTTACTCCTTTCCGCAGGATATGTTTAATAATCTTTATTACCCTAATATAGATGACACAAGCTGCTTCTGGCGATGCCTTTGAGCGACTCATCAGCCGCACCATCTTCTGGTCGTACTGTATTGTCACACCTCCCGCTACGATTCTCTATGTCGTTCTTGGTCTCCTGGTGGCAAAACTCTGATTGAGAATCCAACATTTCCATCTACGTTACATATGTTTCCGATAGACATGCAAGTTCTAGTTGCACTACATTTTAAACCCTATCTTTGCTCATATTTGTTTTCCTTTATTGAAATTTATTCCTCCCACTGTTATGGTAAAGTGTACATAAATTCATCTTTAGACACTATTTTCTTTGTTTCCTACCTAGAATACTTGGGAGGAGTCATGGGACATTCGTGATCTCATGCTGTGTAGTTGTACATGTACTGAAAATTTTAACTTGTTACCTGCGTTATGTCCGTGTCCTGAATGAATACACTCAGGATATTGTATGTACATCCTTTCACACAAAGATTCCAAACAAAGTTTACTCGACAAGCAACTGTAATTGCCTGGCACAATTGATCAGAAGGTCAACCAAATATACGGATGTACATTGTTCCGGTTACTTTAGCAAAGGATAAACATTGAGTACACAAACAACAGGTATGCTAAAACATGAAGAGTTAGCGTGTAAGGACCAAGAGTGGGTCGAACACCCGACCTTAGGATCTGCAATCCCACGCTCTACCACTGAGCTATTGATCCAATTACTGAAATTTCTAGTTGTGCATCTTGGCATAATATTATAACAAAGACTAACCAGAATATAATAATAATAATAGGACCTTTTCTTATCCCATGTCTATCCCTTATCAAGAGGCTAATAATTCCTTTTCCACAGTGCTACTTACATTTTAATATTGTATAATTAAGTATTTTATTAAATAATTGTATATAAAGATTTTTTAAATATTCTAAATATATACAAAGGGTTATACTATTACTTTAACTTACTCTCTATAGTCAGAATGACTATATATGTGTAAAAAGCTATTTCATCCTTCTTATTTAAAAGAATTTAAGATACATATACTTAATATGTAAGAGTAAAAATAAAATAAAATAATAAAGTTGTAATTAAAAAGTATATATTGTTTAATAATAGTTACAGGTCTGAAAGTTATCTATTTCTGACTTTGAGATTAAGGTAGTAGAAATTGTTGTAATAAAACTAAGAGAATATAGGCTCTTAAGATACACAGTTCTTAGTATACTTTTACTTATTATAACAAATGTATTATACATTACAAGTACAAGTTTTAAAAAGTTCCTTTAATAGTATATCTAAAGATGGCTTACAAAGACAAAAGACAAATCTGAGAAGGCTAAAGATCCTAAGGTTAAGGAGAAGCTTGATAAGTACAAAAAGGAGCTAGAATTATATTATAGCTAGCTTGTATAATACAAAAGACTGAACTACAAATTATTTGAGTCAATCTAAGAATACAAAAATTTATCTCTAGTATGTATAAGAAACTGTAAAGGCTGGAGCCTCACTCAAGAACACAGAACAGGTAAAGACCTAGGATTAGAGAGGTTGACCTAAGTACAGGAGCAAGTATGAAGATAATCTCTAAGTGTTTACAAATAGCCCTTTATATACTTAACTAAAGTTACATGTGTAACCTTAGAGGTTACACTCTTCCCTACTCTGAAGAAATAAAAGGAGGGGGTAGGGAAGTAATTAATAGAGAGACAAAGGAAAGGATATAGTAAAGGGAGGGGGAGGTAAAATGGAAGATTATAGTAAGGGGGGGGGAGGGGAAATACAAAAGGGTAAGGACAGAAGACAAGGAACACATAGTCATAAGTTTAAGAAGGCTTCAACTTGTTAATGAAAACACACAGAGACAAGAACAGGGACAAGGAGTACATAATGGTTAAGATGTGAAACTGTACTGTCAGGAATGTATGAATGATAGCTAACAAGTCTAGTGAGTAGTGAGTACAGTGTTACTATAGATAAGGAGAAGATGACTAAGATGTTAACTAAAACACATAGTCAAGACATTAAACAGTACTGTAAGGAATGTGTGAATAATACCTAACAGGTTTAGTAAGTACAGTGTTACTACAGATAAGGAGAAGACAACTAAGAAGGTCTTGTTTGACTAATAGTAGGCTGGGTGTTAGAGATGATAAGAGTTGTTTAGTGTTACAGTTCTCTACTCTTATACCTTCAGTTCTAAGGGTTCTGCACTCTTCTGTACCAGAACTTAGGACTTCCATCCCTCAGAGGTACTGTTTATAGACTATATACATACTGACTCTTACTACTACCCTTCCTTACTTTATCATTCCATTCCTTTGACCACCCCTTCATTCTTTGTTCATTCTATAGTCTCTTACTCTTTGTCCATCCCTTCATTCTTTGTACCTTTATCTTTGACATTCCTTTCTTTCATTCTTTATAACTTATTATTCTTAAATGGCTCATACTCTCTAAGTACTCTTGTATAGTTTAGTATATATAAGTATACAAGATCAGACTAGTTCTATAGTCTTGATCTTGTCTACTCTAGGTAGTCCTGTACTCTTAGACTTACTCTATATACTCTACTCTTGTCTCACTCTCTCTCTCTACCTACTCTACAAGTTCTAACTATGTTCTAGTACTTGTGTTCTGTATTTCTGTTGTGTAGGATAGTTGTAGTCTAGGTCCCCTTACTAAGCCTTTAGGTCCCCTCTATACTGTTACTAACATCAGATCAAGACTACCTATTACCACCCTACAACTCTCTTACATTTTGAGCATTAGTACTTACTGTTGTATTAATCTCTTTTCTTTGTCTTAACCCTTTTACATTTTTAAATTTTAAACTTTCTAAACCCTTTTAAACTTTTGCCACCCTTCTTCTATTCATTACCCCTTTTAGTTTAGTACTGATTCCTTTGTAGTATAAACATGAACCCTTCTACACTAACTGTCACCCTTACTATCCTGCTAGATTAGTAGTTACAAGTAGAACTAGCTTAATACATGTAGACCTCTATCTAAGAGGCCTTTACTAACTATATGCCCCTAGCCTCTTCAGAACCTGTTCTGATTGTTCTAGAAGTTGCAACCTGTTCTAGAAAGAAAGTGTATATAGTCTACCCTTTAGACTTTAATAGACAGTACTTTAAGAACTTCTAGTGTTAAGTCAAACTATACATGACTGTTACTTTGACTAATCTATTCTCAGATCTTAATCACATCCTATTTGTCCTCTCCTTCATGAAGGAAGGCAACACAGCCACCTAGGCCTAGAACTGGATTGAAGGCTATTAGATTGGAAGTCTGATCTGACTTTAGAATAATGAGTTGTATTTAGAATTTATAGGGCAGTTCTGTACTTCCTTTATTAATCTGAATAAGAAGTACAATGTACAGAACAAGCTTGTGTCTCTGTGACAGGGCAAACATTCTACTAATACCTTCTTTCAGGAGTTTGATATCCTAGCCTAGAAGGCAGGATTTGTACTCAGGTTTGATAATGTTCTTATTAGAATACTTGAAAAAGCTCTTCACCTAGAACTAGTCAATAAGATCCTCAGAATAATACTAGAACTGGTCACTTACACTGAGTGGAAAATGCACACTATTTCCTTCAACCAAGCTATGACCCAAATGTGTCAAGTCTGTACAGAACACTTACACATGTGTCTAGCTCTAACAGTTCTGAACTCTCAGATTAATCTGTCTGTAATTTACAATCAATCTGTTCTGATAGACATTAGAGAAGCCTGAAAGTAAGGAGCATACTTTGCCTACAGAAAGTCAGGACACTAAATTAAGGACTGTCTACAGAAACAATAGTACATTCATTAGGTCATTAGAGTAATAACAAGTAATGAGTAGGATTTGTAGTAAGAAGCCTTTTCTACAAATCTAGAAGTCACCTTAGAACTCTCAGACCCTGACTACATACTCTAGGATTTTGTAGAGGCCTAACAGTAAATGTAGTACTAAAGGACTATGACTTGGATTTTTTAATAACTACTTTTGATTCAATAGACACTGTAGGATTAAAAGTAAATAAAGTAGAAAAAGCAGAAAAAGTAGAAAAAATAAATCAACAAAATTATTTATTAGAAAGAAAAAAGTTGAAAACAAAAGTAGATAGTTCTCCTATTTCTCCTGATTCTTTTGATTCTTCTCTTTACACTTTATCCAAGTCTAAATTCATACAATCTAGCCTGTTACTTTTGTGTTCTAAGATCTCAGAATGTTTAGAACACTATCTAGCCCTGTTTACTACTCAGTAGTTTGTCCATAGTATTAAGTAGGGATAGTCTCAGCTGAGTTCACAGCTGAGGACATGAGTCTGTCCTTGTTGAAAGAGAGAGGTTAATAAGGAAATGTTAGTGTATATACTTACCCTCTTAGACAATAAGACTGTACAAACTGTACATTCTCTTCAGAACAAGTAGTAGTTTATTCAAGAACATTCTGAGTACTAGCTCTAAGTCCTTGTCCTCTTGGCTCCCTTCTTAGAATCCCCCCAGATCTGAACAATAGCTCTAGTAAACAGTAGATACACTAGTTTATACATTAATAAGACCTTTGTGTAGGAACACTACCTCTCTACTTAATGTGTTCCACTTCTGATCCTAGTATACAATATAGACAGAACTCTAAACCAGAATGGTTGGATCACTAAGTTTGTCTAACTACAGATGACCATTCAGGATTATAAGGAAAGTATTGAGTTTAGAGTCACTAACCTTAGAAAGACAGACATCTTTATTAGATTCAAATGGCTCAAGGCTTACAACCCTACTATTAACTAGTTAGAGTAGACACTTGTATTCAATTAGTGTTCTAAGTCTTGTAACTATTTTACACTACTGTTCTGAGTGAATACAGACACTTCTAATGTTACTAACAGTTCTAATAAAGGTGACCAGTTGTTCTTCTTCAACTAGGATAGATATGTGAATACATATTCTAGTCAAGGTAGAACAGAGTCAATCTAAAGAATGTTTATGACAGAACCAGTCTAGAACCCTCTCAGAACAACTCTACTCTAGAACACACATAGACTCAGCCTGCTAGATTTTGTCTGAGAGTTCCCTAAAGTCTTTAGTAAAGAGAAATTCAACCAGCTTCCTAAACACTGTCCTTAGGACTATACAATTGAATTAACTAAGGGTTTCCAACCTAAGGATTATAAGGTCTACCTACTTAACAGAGACAAGTAGGAGGTACTTGATGAGTTCCTTTAGGAAAATCTTTAGAACAGTTGGATCCAACCCTTAAAGTTCTCTATAGTCTC